ACCGTCTTTTGCAGCGACGGATTTTGTGGAACACGGTAAAAGGGCTCGCGGCCGCCCGCGACGAAGGGAATTTGCGATCGCCATTTGAATTTTCATTTTAGAGGTTCTTATTGAAATTTTGAGAAATTTATTTGCCCATACGGAGGAAAGACAGGTTTCAAGTAGATTCTGTAGGAGATTTCGATTTTTCAAAGCCGCACCGTGCTTTTTCTAATGTGTTTGATTTTCGAAATGTTTATTCGTTGGATGCGAAATAAATATCAACGTAGACTTGTTACGCTCATAAGTGACTAAGATTTGCTGCTATTGTATTATGCATTTGCAGATGAATTCTTTTTCTGTAGACGAGTTGATGCTATCATTTGATGAGCTGAAACCCTTTAGCGAAGTTCTTCATGACGATATTCAGCTGTACAGACTTCACAAGCTTTATAAGGTATGTTCGTGCCTTTTTTGGCTTTCAGTTCTTTTTTGAGTTTTCTTGTTTCTAATATGGGTTCAATGATAGCGTTATGTATTCATTCTTCTGCACTTTCCTCATTCAGAATCTAGACAAGCACGATGATGATGCGCTTTTACGACATATCCTAGTTGCTGTCTCTTGCATGGAAGATTGTCTTCATGCTGATCCGCCGCTGATAAAAATGCTCCAAAACTGCCTTGTCGAGTAAGTTAGAGACATGCCCATATAAATTCTGATATTTTGCCTCTTATCGCTTTTCAGAGTGACATCCCTTATCGAAAAGTCGAAGGAGTCAGCTTCGAGGAATCTCTTAGCGATTGCGACTGGAATTCTTTTCAAATACAGCGCCGCGCTGCTTCAAATACAAGAAGATACTGATTTTGAGGTAAGCGTTTTATCGTCAAGATTGTCGTTGAAAATGTATTTTGCAAATACTTTCAACCGTTCTCTTTTAGCTTGCTCTTTTTCTCAATGCCGTTGCATATCACTACCTCAGTTCTGCATCATCTGCGGAAGCAGACGTTTCTGCATGGATCGCTCTACACACACTTGGTAGGTTATGCTTCCTTCCGTTTCCACATTCTCACTCCTAGTGGTCATTTGAATACCGCTTTTTTGTGCATTTTACTTCGCTTTCTACGTCTTCATACGAGCAGCCAATCTAGATTTGTTTATCTGTGTTATTATTCGCTTACATGAAGTTAGGTAATTGTTTAGCATTTTTGTGAGGCTCAGGTAGTTTTTAATAGCACATCAGAAAATAGCGCTAAAGGCAGTGTCCAGGGAAGAAGTCGATTTTGTGTT